GGGGACCGTGGTGGCACTGCTGCTGCTCAGCAGCCTCGTCTCTCCTGTGATGGCTGTCACACAGCTCTGCAGGGCAGGGAGCTCCCAGTTTGGCAGCATGTTCAGCAACATTAGCAGAAGACCCTGGAAACCCCCGGACATGGGGAGATGGGACACAGTTTGCAGGGACTGCAAAGAGGGAAGGAGCTCAAGCAGGGGGGGTTGGTGCTCTTATTTCTAGCGTCACCCCCCCAAGCTGCTCAGGGGAGGTGGGACTGGGGTGTCACAGCTGGAAGGGCACATCAGCCCTCCCCAAGGACCTGTTATTGGTGACATGGGACACACGGGCCAGCACACAGCTCCACAGGAGCCTCCTCTGCCACCCATCACTCCCATGGGTCCCCCCCACCTTTCCTGCTGCTTGGCCCACAGCACTGGTGCTCTCCCACCACCCCTTGTCCTCCCCATGCCCCAGCAATCCCTGCCCTGAGCCTTTCTCAGGGTCTCCTGCCCTCTCTCCTTCCCACAAGGAATAAATCACCCTCCAGCTCCAGCCCCGGCTCTCAGAGGAAACAGCAGCCTGCATTGCCACCTCCTTCCCACGGGACCTGTCTGCCTCCAGGATGCTGGGAATCTTTTCCCAGACCAGAGAAGGTTCATTCATGGAAGGAGTCAGGGACTGGTGGCTCTGGACCCTCTGGACTACTGGGCATCAATGTCACCCCCTCCAGTCTGTGTCCCTCCATGCTCCCACCCTGACACTTTGCCCATGAGATGGGTCCTGAGAAGGGACCTTCAAGGGGTAGGAACAGTGGGTTTGGGTCCTTGGCTGTATTAAAAAGCTCTGAAATGCTCCATTTTTCCACCATAGGTAAAGGCTGCAGACATGCAGCAGGGAGCTCTGAGCATCAGGATGGAGATCCATGTTTGCCAGCCACCTCCACATGGTGGAGTTAACAACAGCATCACTAAAATACCCAGCAAATAGTCAGAAAAAACGTTCTTTGCTCAGTCCCCTCTGGTGGAAAGCAATAACACTTGGGCTGTGAATCTTCTCAACCTCCAAGGAGAAGCTTTTCTTTGAGAGTCAGGGGGGAAATCAATCTAGCAGGCTCCACTTCCCGCTTGGAGACCTCTGGAGACGTGAGCCCAGCCCTGACATGCTCCCTGGTGGCATCAGGGAGGGAGCAGAGCCCAGCTGGAGCACGGCTCTCCTCCTCCTCCTCCATCCCTTGGCACCAGCCCATTAGGAAAGAGGGTTTTGTCAATCGGCCCAGCACATTAGGAAATGAAACAGGTTGTGCCCAGAAGCTTCCCCAGTGGTCCATTAGCACCAGTGGATCCTTCCTCCAGCCTGACAGGTCCCATGGGATGCTTTTGCTGACTATTTCCTTTCCCGGTGCAAGGGGAATTGTCTGAGACAGGGTGCTGGCAGGGCTGGTGAATGGGAGGAAGGAAGGGTGACCTGCTGCTCTGGGTGTAGGGTGCTCAGATGTAAGGTGGGCTGCTGGAACAACATGAAATCCCCACTAGATATGAGGGTTGAACATGCAGGCATGTTCCAGCTTGCTAATGCATTTTCTGGCTTGCCATGAACCCCCAGAGCTCCAGGATCATGTCTGAGGTCTCTGCCCATCCTTGGAGCTGGGGGTGGTGGTGAGAGACAGAGTGAGGTTCCTGAGGGCACATGCACAGAAACCAGTTTGTTAACATGTCTGTCAGGACAAGCTGTTACCGATTGCCAAGGAAGGAAGTGAGGAGCATAATGCCATCACAGCATGAGCACTGCCACCCCACATGGAGCAGTCTTAACCCCCAGGCAGAGCATCCTGCTTGTGTTTAATTCTTTCTTGTGGTTGTCATCTCTTCCACAGGTATAAGAGCGTGGTGACACCCCGAAGGGCGGCAGTGGCCATCGCTTGCTGTTGGATCGTCTCCTTTCTGGTGGGACTTACCCCTATGTTTGGCTGGAACAACCTGAACAAGATGAGGAGGACTCAGGAGCTGAACGCCAGCCACACAGAGTTTGTCATCAAGTGCCAGTTTGAGACAGTCATCAGCATGGAGTACATGGTGTACTTCAACTTCTTCGTTTGGGTCCTGCCTCCCCTGTTGCTGATGCTTCTCATCTACCTGGAAGTCTTCAACCTCATCCGCAAGCAACTCAACAAGAAGGTCTCTTCCAGCTCCAACGACCCTCAGAAGTATTATGGGAAGGAGCTGAAGATCGCCAAGTCGTTAGCACTGGTCCTCTTCCTCTTCGCGCTCAGTTGGCTCCCTCTGCACATCCTCAACTGTATCACCTTGTTCTGCCCATCCTGCGAGACACCTCACATCCTCACCTATATCGCCATCTTCCTCACCCATGGCAACTCAGCCATGAATCCCATCGTCTACGCCTTCAAGATCAAGAAGTTCCGGACAGCCTTTCTGCAGATCTGGAACCAGTACTTCTGCTGCAAAACCAACAAAAACGCCAGCACCACCACAGCCGAGCTGGACAACTAAGAGCTGGGACTGAGCAGAGTGGGGTCCTCCATGCCCAGCCCAGAACCCATCTGGCCGTTGTTCCTGCTGTCAGGGGAAGGGGTGGTGAGGACCTGGGAGGGCTGAGTTCACCAGCCCTGTGCAATCTGAACAGCCATGTCCCCCAGCTGCCCCAGGGGGTTATTTATTCACAGCATCGTACTGTTTTGATATTGTAGCCTGCACTGTTCCTTTCCTTTTTTGTTTTTTTTTTTCCTGTTTGTTTTTGTTTTTTGTTTTTTTTAAGGGTTGCCAAGTATTTAAGGAGAAATTGTACAGACAAAGGCGCAGTTTATCATCATGCAAATAAAGTCAAAATGATTAAAACCACCCAGGAGGTCCTCTGCCATTGATGGAGACCTCTGGCTCCTTGGAGCACTGCAGTCAGTGGTGCTGGGGTCACCTCCCACTCTGGCCCCTGCATCCATGGACCCATGGGGGTACCTGGGCACTGGGGTGAAGGAGTGCTCTGGTGGGAGTGAAGCTGCTGAGAACCAGGAGAGTCCAGGGTGATTTCTTCAGCTTTCAAGCCCATTCTTTCCCCCTGTAACCAGGGAGAGATGAGCTGGGCTGAGACACGGGAAGAGACAGGAAGAGGCACCCCATGGCAATGCCAGCACCCACAGGGCAATGAATCCACCACCCCACAGAGCAAAGGGTCATTCTCCAACTCTGAATGCTACCAGAGAGGTAGGTAGAGGGGAAAGGAAGCCCCAGAGTACCCTGAAAGAAGTACCCTTTGCTGCCCTGATGGCTCCCCATGGATCCCAGCAGCACCCACCACCCCTGTGAGCTACACCCAGGGAGCTATGTCCCCTCCATGTGTCTTCTCTCTCCTTTTACTTTGGCTTTGAGTCATTTTCCCCTCTTTTCTCCTGCCTGTCTTCTGTGCAAAGAAGCAAGTGTCTCCCAGCCCATATGTCTCATCTCTCCCAACCACCATCCCTGTGCAGCCAAACCCTTTTGACCCAAATTTTGTGGGTTAATGCAGCCACCTCCATGGCCCAGGGGAGCAGAGAGGGACCTCCTCCCATTTGGGGACAAGCAGGGGACAGCTGCAGGCCACCACGTCAGTGTTGATGCTGCCACAGGGGCATTTTCCAACCCCTATGTCTACCTCAGGTTTAGCCATGGGCAGGGCGTATTGGTCATATTTGAGGAGAGGGTGGCTGGAGATGGACCATCACCCCCGTCCACTTCTGTGGTCCCGACTTGGCAGCCACACTGCCAGTTCCTGCTCTGCAGAAGGATCTTCCAGGGCTGAAGATGTGGTGGGAAGAGTTAATTTGAATTAATTGTGTTTCTTCTTATCAACATCCCTTGTTCACCCATCTGCCATTGGAAACACACTTCCTATGACCCTTCTGCCCCAGGAGGGTCATGTCTCTCCAACATCACCAATGGGCAAAGTAACTGCAGCAAGTTCCTTCAGAGACTGGGAGGGGACAGAATGGAAAAGGAGCTTGGGTGGTTTTTTGGCTGTGGAGAACCATGCCATGCACATGTAGCATGGACAATGGGGTTGCTGGGTGTCCCTTGGGCCCACCTCTGCAGCCAGCTCTGTTTAGCCTGGAGGGAGCTCCTCCATTTTTCTTGAGTAGAAAAGAAGGGCAGCAAAGAAGGGTGGGGGGAAGGATGAGAAGCTCAGCCTCCCACATTTTGTAAGTGCCTTGGTATATCATACCCATGTTCCTGGTTCAGATCCCACAGGGCAAAACGGAAGCAGAGAAGACCAAAGGCAAGGAACAAATCCTTTCCTTGTGTCTCATTGTGATGGAGGTGTCCTGAACACCCTCCCAGCCTCCTCGAGATGAAGAACCCAAAACCCTTTATCAGCAGAGCCTGGGGACGCTGCAACCCCAGGTTGGTGCAGGAAGGTCCCCCCTGCCCCGTGCCCATGGTCCCTTTGCACAGCAGTAGCTTGACCTCGGATTAGGGCTGCTGATTACCGAGCACACGTCTGATTCCCACTCGCATTTTATTTCTGCAAGAGGCTGCTTTCCTGGAACTGATGCCTTTGCCTGATCCTTGCTAAGGTGCCCAGAAACCTGACGACTGGGAAGCCCATAAATTAAAAGGCATGTGAACGAATGCTTTCAGAAAAAAACATCTACTGGATTTTTCCACTCCATGCTCCCCAGACCTTTCCAGGAGAGAGCTTACTAAAAGTGGATGCTGTTACCCACCTCAGTCCCCTGTGGGGTTACAAATACAGCCTTTGCCCCGTGGGACTGCATTAAGAGGCCGGAAAGGGCACAGCGTGCAGCACAACACAGTCTTGGAGATGCTGCTTCTTCCCTGTGTCAGTAAACCCCTGGCTAACAAACCCCTCCCAGTACCTGTCCCCCAAGGCTCCCACTGGCCAAAACCATGTGCTAAGATGCCAGGGACATCAAGGGGACCAGGACATGCCCATCAGTGTCCAGCACCAGGAGTGAACATGCCAGGGGAAGACCTGCTCTTGACTGCGACCTTCATCCTGCTGGTATCGTCACTAACCCCAACCATCTCAATAAACCAGGTTGACCATCAGTCGGGATAAAATTTAATCCAACAATGCCCTCTGATGGTGGAAACAATGTCTGGTGTGGACCGTGCTGTGTCGGTGCTGAGCCCCTGGGAACAGCAATACCCCCATGGACTTCAGCTTGGGGATGGAGAATGGATGACGGGGGCCAGATGGGGACAAAGCAGAGGGGCTGCAGGAGAGATGCTGCAGAGAGGAGTCAGCTGTTTTAGCCATAGGTACTGCCCGGCTTTGCTCTCCAGTGGCACCAGGGGTGGGCTGGGCTCAGATCTGCAGATGCCCAAGCTAGATTTGCACCCACATTTGCAGTGTCAGGACCTGCTGGGATATGCTTTTCTCAGGGCAGAACCTGGGTCTGGCCCCATGACCACATGCAGCTGGGAGAGCTCCTGCTTTCATCCACACTCCAGACCCATCAGCGTGAGGGGGAGGTTGTGCTGGTGGAGGAGGCACCCGGCACTGCTGACCCTGGTTAATGAGGCGCTTAGTTAACTTGATGGATCTGTCTAGGCTCTCTGTTAATAAACAGCATCTGACCCGAGCTGTCTCGGAGCTGTAAGGAACGAGTCATCTTTCTGCACATGAGCCATCAGTAGCTAACGGGGCCAATTCCTCCTCCTCTGGATAACACATCGGCATGTCCTGCACCGCCGTCTCATGCCGTGGGGAGGGGATGCTGATGGCAGTGCATGGCTGGATCATTACATCACTGGTGTGGATATAGAAATTGTGCTTTGATGAAGAAGCACCAACATGTCACACTTTTGATGTTGCTATTTCCCCACCTCCCCAGCCAGAATCTCCAGCTCCAGAAGGAAAGTTTTCCCCATCCTCCTCCTTGTTGAGGTGCTTCTGGTTTAGTCATCTTCATATATGTTTTACAAAGTTGGTCCTTTCTTTCCAAGCTTAAAAACCATCTCCTCCATCCGTGGTTCGGTGGGAGGCTGCATGAAACCACAGCATCCCTGGCAGCAATCTCCCCTCTACCTTCCCCCAACCCAAGCCAACCCCACAACAAGCAGGACAGACAGTTTTGGGGGGTTTTTTATTAGGAACAAAGCCCCTGAGATAGGCTTGTTTTATAGTCTCACATTCAGAGAGGACCATGCCATGGCAGGCTGAGGTGCAGGCCCCCCCAGAGCACTGCCAAGGAGGGGACAGGCCAGCAGGCAGCAGAGACCATGGCCAGGAGCATCACTATGTGCCGCGCTACCGCACAGCAGCTGCAGCATCCACCTGAGGTAAAGGAACGAGATCCAGGTCCTGTGAGGGCATCGCGGCCAAGAGACCAGTGTTCAGGGATGAGGTGGGAAACCACATCCCAGCCACGGCTCTAATACAAGACAAACCCAGCCCAGCTCTTCCACCCTCTCCTGCCCCACAAAATTCAGGTACAACCCTTTAACTCTGCTTTTCCATCCCGCAGCCCGATTTCACACCCCTTTATACCTGTCCCCAGCCCCAGGACCTGCCTTTCATGTGCCTCCAACCCCTGGTACCCCAGGTCTCTGAGCTCTGCCTGCAAATTGGAGCTCTGCCTGCCATGCACAGCAGCCTCCACATGCTTTTATTTATTTATTTATTTATTTACAGCCCTCCCTCCACCTTGCAAAGGGGCAGGTTTCTCTCAGGCTCTGCAGCATCCCAGACCACCAGTGTATCTCCAGCCATGGGAGAAGGAAGATCTGAGCTGGGGCTCCTTCAGCAGGTGACAAAGGCTAATCCAGGACACTCAACCCATTCCATCCCCAATGAAGTGATCCACCCTCACTCCATCCTGCAGCCCCAACCCAGACCTACCTTGCTCTTCATCTTTCCTTCTGATCTGTCCTCACTGGGGCACTGCAGGAGAGTATGGGAGATATAAAACCCTGGAAATCCCTCATCTTACTCCCTGTTTGACTTCCAAAAATGAGCCAGGGCATAACCAACTTGCTCATGTGCACACACCAATGTGCACCTACACACACCACCCCTGCACACTCGTAGGATCACAGAATCACTTTGGTTGGAAAAGACTTTTAAAATCATCGAGTCCAACCAATTGCATGCTCCAAGGAATCACACCACCATCGCTGCCTGCTCCCAACCAGCTTGACCCCAAGATTCCAACCTGGGTGACTCCCAGGTGCTTTGTGTCCCCAGCATCATGACAAGCTTGTCCTCCTGGCCAACTTCACCGTGCTGCCTGCAGGGCTGCACTGACAGCCCTGCCTGCAGGGCAGCCTGGCCAGAGCCAGCTGGGTCAGTGCTCACTGCACCCGCTGGAAGCCCTGGCACCAGCTGCTGCAGAGCCAAGCACCGACCCTGTGCCACGCAGACATTCCTGTAGCTTCAGCAGGGACCGAAGGTGCTGGGCGCCTGCCAGATTGGAGACCTGCCTGCGTAGGAAGTAGGGCAGAGCATGTCTTGGGGCAAAAGTGTGCTGGGAAACCACGAGAGGAGAAATAATAAGGATGACATGCATCTAAGGACACATCACCACTTGAGGAACAAAATGTGTGGGCATGCATCCTCCTGCACGCCGAGGTGGGTCTGCAGCACGCAGAGGAGGCGTCTGTGGGGAGCAAAGAGGGGCAGCTCAATGCAAGGGTTGGGCTGGGTGCTCTGCTGAGGCAGGGAAATGTGAGCTGGAAAGTCTGGGCAGGATCCTGAGACATAAATCAGAACAACCCAGGTGCAAGTAGAGGGGGTTCAGCATAGTCTCCACACACATGGCTTGCTGATGGTTTGGGACACAAGTGCTGGTAGACACAGTGAGGAGCAAGTGACTGTCCCAGTCTCCACAAAAACCTCTGGTCCTTTGGCTCTGCAGTTTCTAATTTCCTCCCCATTTTGTGTCCATGAATGAGGGAAGGTGATTTCAAGACGCTTCAAGACCATAAACCCAAGAAGCCTGAAGCTCCAGCTCCACAGGGCTACCCAGTGTCCTTAAGTTCCCCCATCACCAGGATCAACACAAAACAGGGACCAACCACACCACTGTGAAAGTGAGAACGGGAAAAGGCAGACAAGGAGACCTGCTCCTCTATCTCCTTGGCCAATCTTACCTTTCACATCAAGTTTGCAGTCTACTGAGGCTTCTCCCAAGGGGTTCACAGCTTTGCAAGTGTAGACTCCTCCATCGAAAGGGTTGGGCTTGCGGATTTCCAGGGAGCAGACACCTTGCTCAATCATTGCTATATATTTGGGGTCTTCCCGTATCTCCATCTGATTTTTCATCCAGATGATTTTGGGCTGGAAGGTAGTAGGATTTATTTGTTTGTTTAAAGCAGGGAGAGAAATGAGAAATCTAACTGGCCCTGAAATGCAGCCACCTCCCTCTGCCTTTGCCTTGGCCCTGCCTGAAGCTGGTGGCCATGGCAGGATTCACAGTCAGAAGTTGTTTGAAAAGGTAAATCTTCCATTTTGGAATCCTAACCACTGCTCCACATGTCCTCCCCCAGCAAAGAAGGAAACAAGACATGGCTTGAATGAAGACCAGTCCCCCATCTCCATATGCAGAAACACCCCAAACTTGCCCCAGTCTGACTCAGAAAGCAGCTGCAACCCCCTAACCTCATCCAACCCTAACCCAACATGACTAACCATCTCCCAACACCTCCAGCCACCTTGCGAAAACCCCACTGGTGGCCACCCACACATGGAGGCGATGCTGTCCATGGAGGAAACACTGACCTGTGGGAAGCCCCGGACGGAGCAGAAGAGATGTGTGCTGTAGCCCCGGGTGGTGGTTCGGTCTGTCAGGGGCTGGGTGAACTTTGGAGGTTCCATCATGTCCCGTTGGGGGATCTTCTCTGACTGGTAAGTAGTTTCTAAGAAAATAATTATCTAGGTTGAGGTAGAGCTCAGGATCCTGGGCTGACCAGCACATGGTCAAAGGGATTCAGACCCAGGTACTCCAAAATACTTCTGCTCCTTCACATAACAAGCCAGACAACCTCCAGCCTGACCCAAGGGCCTGGTCTTCAGCTCAGACCAGCCCTGTCTATAAATCCTTTCTCATCCAACCACACCATCTTAGTGTCCAGCCCCTGTGAGGAAGATGCCAGTCTGCAAACCAAGACCATGGTGCATACTATGTGCAGCATGTCAGATCCATGCCAGGTACTTCTCTGGATCTTCTACTCCATCCCCAAATTTCAGTGCACAGAAATAGGAGCTGGAGGTAAGCTCTGCAGGTGGCAGAGACCCCAGCTCGTGGTGTTCTACCAGGGAGCAGGATGGAAATGGAGGAAGAGCAGGGCTGAGGGATGCTGGCTTGAAGATTTGGCCCTGAGATGGACCTCTGCAGGGGTTTCTTCCTCTGCTGGCCCTGAGTTGTGAGGCCAAAGCCACAGCGTCCTTCACCATCCCAGCTCCTGCTTTGATTTCACCCCATGGATGTCCATGCCTCGATCCCTCCCACAGCACTGACCATGACACAAGCCTTCCCCAAAGGAGAAAGAAGGTGTAGAAGGATGGCAGGGGACCTCTGGACCTCTGCCTTGGGGCTGCACACCCTCACCCCTCCAGGGCTTGTCCTGGGGACCAGCCCAGCAGCACCACCACAACACCGAGGAAGCTCCACTAGCCCCAATGGGGACAGGACCCCTCTTGCCCACCACCACCCCCAACTCCTTAGCCAGGGCCTTGTCCCCACTTGTCTTCTTGATGTGGGCCACCCCAGAAGTGACGGCTGCTTTCTCGCTCAGCCCGCAGGCGTTTTCCGCGAACACTCGGAAGGAGTAGGTGTTGCCAATGATGAGGTCGGAGATGGTGCAGCTGGTGCGGGAGCAGCGCTCCAGCGCTGTGAACCATTTCTGGGAGGAAAATAAAGAGTTTGTGAGGAAAGGCAGGCTGTCCAGAGAATGGAGACAGTGTAGGGGGAGACAGCTCCCCCTCGCCCATCAGGGCATTCCCAGCACCAGGGCATGGGGGGCCCAGGAGTGCCCAGACTCACCCCACTCTTCTTGTCTGACTTCTGCACTATGTAGCCCTTGATCTCAGAGTTCCCATTGTCCAACGGTGGGGTCCACTCCAGGGCCACATTAAAGCCCCATACATCCAGCAGTTTCAGGTTCTGGGGGGGGCCCGGTGGCTCTGCAAATACAAACCCTCACAGGGTGGCATCCTAATTCTGTGCCTCCACAATCCCTTGCACCTTGCTTCTAATCTCTTCTCACCCTGTTGCAGCACACAAGGGATGAGAAGCTGTGGTGGGCATGGGCTGGTAGAAACCCTGCATCCCCAACCAGTGGACTTCACCTCCATGATGCTGGAGAAGATCCCATTGGAAGAGGGGCCCCAGAGTACCTTGTCTTGTTGCTGCCCCTGTCCCATCCCACCCAGAACAAGAGTTACTCCCAACCAAGGGGCAGAAATGAGCTATAGAGTCACCCTGCAGGGTCCCTTCCCCAGCCTTACCGATGACTCGGATGTCCAGGGTAGCCTTGTCCTCAGCTCCGTTTATCCGCACGGTGAGCTCATACTTGCCCGAGTCGCTGCGCTGTGCCTGGCGGATGTAGAAGATGGTGTCCTTGTCTGTGTTGCGGATGTTGATGCGGCTGGTGTCCAGGGGCTGGCCACCCTTGGTCCAGATCACCTCGGGCTGCGGCTTTCCCTGGAGCAACCCACAAAGGCAGGTTAGGAGTCACTGGCTGGGAAGACTGTGTGGGCAGAGTCACTCCACTTTCTCCAGGCAGCAGTGGCCTGGATACAGCCTCTCCCATCCAGCAGTGCCCCAGGGAAGAAACTACAGCTGATCCATGCCAGCTCCACTGACAGGAAGCCGTCAGGTTCCAGGGACGATGCTGGAACATGCTGGTCCCCCAAAGTTCTCATGAAGCAAGCTCAGCTTTACTCACACAAGGCACTGCAGGCAGAGCTGTGCTCCAATGGCCCAGGAAGTGAGCCCAGGTTCAAGCCTAGCAGCAAAGGCTTGAATGCAGCATCCAGGGCCAATTCATACCTGGAGCATGGCCAGTGCAGGCTCCCAACTGTCTATGAGACGTGGTAGGGACAGATCCCTCATCTCATGGGCAGCTTTCTGCCTCTTTCTTCCCCCTGCTTGGCCAAGCATGTTTCAGGGATGGTTTTCTCTGTCCCAGGTGAAGATGCTTTGGCGATGCCCCAGTAAATGATGGATCAGTTGAGGAGAGGACTTTCAGCTCTGCCCATCAGTGTCAGCACCACTTCCGCCATCACACAGCCCTGGGGCTGTCCTGCTCCAAAGGCAGCTGCTCTCCCCAAGGGGACCCTCAACATTGTGCTGTGGGGTCCTGTCCTATGTGGCCAGATCCCTGCCAGGCTCAGCCAGGAGCACGAGCTGAACAGGGTTCATGGGCTGAGACAGCAGCAATAGCTAGCCCATGCCCTAGTGTGTTTGGGGTTGTCCCATTGCCAACACCATCAACAAAGACATAGCAGGAGAAAAATGGGAGCTAGAGAGGAATGGGAGAGAGTTTCCCACCCCATCTCTCACCCTTGGCCCATGAGACACATGGACCAGGACAAGCTAGCCCACAGTTGGCTCCAGGTATGTCATGTTGGCTTGAAAAGTCACTGCAGAAGCTAACATGCAGTGAAAAAGCCTAAATCTCAAATTATCCACCTACCTGGAAAGGGATCATCATGTTCACGGCATCTCCAACACGCCTGACATAAGTCTGACGCAGATGACGGGGCATGCGAATCCTCGGGAGCTCTGGGGACCAGAAAGTCATACCATGAGGTCAAGGAAATTGCTGTCCCACTCCACACATGCCCCTTCTTGGCCATCACGAAATCCTACCCAGAAACACATCCACCTCTTCACTCTCATCTCCTGGACAGTGCTTGCTTCCCTGCAGGGCCACATCAGCCTACCCCATTGCCTGCACCCCAAGATTACATCAACCCTTGAGATATCAGGTCACCAACTCAATGGCACCACCTCAATGGACTATTCAGCCACTTTTTTATAACCAGGCCATGGAGATCAACATGGGCTTAACCAGAAGAGTTACAGCACATCCTATATGGTAGGAAGGCAGAGGACAGATCTCCCAGTTAGGAAATATTTCTCCCTCAGCTCAGAAAGCAGACTTCCCAGAGGCACACAACCCAACCTCCAGCAAGGACAAGGCTCTACCAGACCTCCAACTTCACTTCGTGCTCAAGGCCATTGAGAGACCAAGGTGGTGCATGGTTACTCACAGCAGAGCTGTGAAAGCCCCAGGGCTTAAAACGAAGGCTAACATCCCCAAGGGAACATAACAAAGATAAGCAAAAAACCCACTGGAGAATGCTGATGGAGCGTGTGTCTCCTTCTCGGGGTGAAAATAGCAGCCGTGTAACCCTACCGGCTCGGTGCCACTCGGTGATCCTTCTGGAGAGGCATTGGGTTTACGTGAGCCCCTCATAAAAGAGCTGTGTGTCTCTGCCCGGATTAAACGTGCTGGAGCTTAGCTCTGGGGAGGGGGCACGGCCAGAATTAAACCAGGACTGAACGATGGCTAAACAGCTGTGAGTGTGAAACACCATCAGTGGGCTGGAGAGAGCAGGGAGATGCTCAGCGGTCCCAGATGGCCCCATCAACAGCTGAGATGGTCTCTCCTCTGCTCATGCTGCTATTTGCTCCAGGGATCCATGCATCGATGCTGCCACTTGGGCTCATCACTCTCAGTGGGGCACAGAAACCTGACCTCAGCAGAGGAATGTTAATTCATGGGTGTTTTCCCCAGCTCACGTGTCTTGCTCAGCCGGAGAGGGCTGGCCGAGGTTGGTGGCCCAGGTGACATGCTGCTGCAGGTGGGAAGGTATTTTTCCTTCCCCAGCTCCCTGAAAAACACAACTCCCACACTGAATCTTCATCTGGTTTCTCCTTGTCTCTCTCCACTTCCCAAACCCACTCGTCCCACCTGTTTTTAAACTCTCTGCCATCTGTATTGCTGCTATTTAAAATCCATGTGATGCTATAAACGAACCCGTGAGAAGTACAAAACTCAGTCCCGAGTAAAATGTGAAGACCAGAAGGTAACAGATGGGGCAGAGAGGAGCAGACTCATGCACCCAACACACAACACCAGTGCCACTGGGGTGGACATGGGAAGGCAAAGGGACCAATTTGCTCCTCAGCAGAGCCAGGCAGTGTGCACAGGGCTGTATTTCAAATTAAATGCAAAAGTAGGCAAGTGCTGTTTGCTGATGAAGTGTTTCCATTAGCAAAAAGAAAAGAGAGAAGAAAAAAAACCCACCAGCATGGAGCAAGAGCAAGTTGTGTGTGAGTCTTGGCTCCTTGGGTTTTCCACCTCTCAGCTGGTGCATGTGGTTGGGACAAAGCTCAGGCAGCAGGGACAAGGGGTTTGAACTGGTTTTTGCAGCACGGGAGTGGGCAGCACGAGTTGTGTATTTGGCATCTCATGCCAGTCCCACAGGCCTGTCCCACATGCCTCAGTTTCCCCAGTCCCACAAGGGATGGTGGGATCACTTTGAGATCTAGAGGTGAACAAGGCAGCAGACACCAGCCACTAAGCCATGTTCCCCTCCTCCGAGCAGACTGAGAGGATGGATCCTGCAAGACCCTTTCCAGATGCTGATAGCCTTCTCCAAGTCTTTTCCTAAGAAAAGCTGATGGTTCCTCAAATAACTTTTGTTATTATTATTATTGCTATTTTTAAGCAGCTGAAAAATCTGATGTGTTGAGTAATAGGAAAACTTCATAAAGTCACTGAATGGTTTGGGTTGGAAGGGACATTAAAGCTCATCCAGTCCCAACCCCCCTGCCAGCAGCAGGGACACCTTCCACTAGACCAGGTTGCTCAAAGCCTCATCCAACCTGGCCACAAACACTTCCAGGGAGGAGCAGCCACAGCTTCTCTGGCCAACCTGGGACACTGTCTCACCACCCTCACACCAAATAATTTCTTCCTCACATCTCAGCTCCATCTCCCCTCTGCCACTTTCAAGCCATCACCCCTTGTTCTGTCACTCCCTGCCCTTGGCCAAAGTCCCTCCCCACCTTCCTGGAGCCCCTTCAGGTACTGCGAGGTCACTATAAGGTCTCTCCAGAGCTTTATTGCGCATTAATAGTTCCTTGTAAAAGGAAAATAAATCTGTTTAAAATTTGCTGTTTGGTAAGTGAGAACCAGCCTCGCAATCATCCATCAGCGTCAGCGCATTCGCAGCACCCCGGGGAGGAATGTGAGTCTTGCTGAGCATGGCAGCGAGTCATTCATTAGCGAGTTCAGGGTGATTAAAGTTCCCATGCTCCAGACTCTCAGCTCCTGACTTTCCCGTAGCTAAATAAACAAAGCTGACCAATGGGTCTGTGGTGGTGGATCAGTCAGCGTGGCCAAGGAGAGGAGATGTGCTGAAAGTGAGACTGTTTGTGAGCTCTGGCGATGAAATGGAAAAATGTGACTCTGCATTTTGAGTCCTTCCACCCCCTAAAGCTTCACTATCTACAAGATCAGTATCTTGAGGTCAGGAAGCTACTCCCTCCCACCCTGAGGGAACTGAACAGAGTTATTGAGAACAACATCTCGTGTGAGAGGGCAGAGGCTGCTCAGGCTGCAGGGATGGACTGTGATTTCTTCACTCTGCTGGCAAAGCACACAGGAACTGTGCACGGCAGGAGCTCTACTTACGGTGGATCTCTCTGATGAGGACCGGCTTCTCCAAAGTAGCTGGGACACTGGCACCGTTGGCACTGAGAGCCTTCACCCGTACATGGATCTTGTCACCAGAGCCAAGGTCCTGGATTGTGTACCGGGTGGAAAGAAAAGGCTCCTTGTTCACAGTCATCCAGTCTGTACCTACGATGAACCCAGCAGAGCACTTGTCATGCAATGGACAGACAGACACACACCCCAGATAGCAGCATCAAGCCACGGGAGGTGAAACCCAGAGGCAAAGAACTTCTTCTTTGCAAAGACTAAGTGATTTGGGGAACCAGCAGAAAAAGGTATTTTAGAGGGACGTTGGCCACTCCAACCTGCCAAGGAGCGTGGGGTACAAAGTGCTGGCACAAGCTCGACTGTTGAGCAGGAGGCTACTTGCAAGTAAGAAAAGGCATCAGGCCAACAAACATTATCCCTGTTGACCTTCCAGGTGCATTTCTGGAAGTAGTTAAAATCCTTTGACCATCCTGCCCATCAGTCTGCTCCTCTTACTTCCCCAGGACAATTCATTTGGGCTCACCATGTTCCCCAGTCCACATTGGGCAAGGTCATCACCAGCCACCAGCCAGCTAGAGCTCTCCAACTGTTCTTCCTGCTTGGAAGGGGCATCTCAAACTGACCCCCCAGCCAAGACACAGAAGCCCTCACACATCAGCCAGCTAACACAGCCTTGCAATGTGCTGAACCTCTGAAGAGGTTTTCCTGGGGTGTCCCAGCCGGTAACTAGAGCAACCCACGTGTGCCCAGGTTTGCTAAGCCATCATGTGCACCTTCAAACCAAGAAGGTTTCCCTGTCAGTGCCATCAGACCAGCCAAATCCTACCAGCTCCTCTTTCCTTTCACCACTGGCATTACTCAAACCAGCCCTCACTCAAATCTCACCATATTTTAGCCAATCAGGGTCTTGCACCAGCCCAAATCCAGCAGTCATGGGGGTTATCACTGAATTACTAGAGATCTCCTGTCACCCAGCCAAACCCAAAGCAAGCTAGGAGAGCACCCAAAACTGTGACCTTTGGGTGGCTGTCAGCCAGTACCCTCCAGGAATGGCTGCATCTTTCCTTGTCCTACGCAAGGGCCTCCTCACGCATCCCATCCAGCCGTGGTTACCTCCCCAGTCCCCAGGCCAATGACGAAAGCCTCCCACAGCCAAGTATATGTTGATCGTGCCTGCCACAAGCTAAACAACCAAGGGTCATAGATCAAGTTTCCCAAGGCCCATGGACCACCAGGTCTCCCAAACCACTCCAGTCTCAAGCAGCACCCAGGCCACCAGCCCCAGCTTCCCCTTGCAGATCCTCCCAGCCCTACAGGTCATTTACCTTCACTCCAAATCCAAACAGGGCTTCAAGAGAGTGCCCAAAACACAAGTCATCCACCTACATCATTCCACCAACCAGCAATGCAACCAGAGAACCACACTGCCACCCACCAGCCTGCCATCCTTCTTCTGGGCATCTCAAGCCCCATCTCACTTAGGCCCTGCCCAAGATCCTTTCCTCCCTCATCCTCCCACCTTATCCCCATTCCTTCTGCACTTCATTTTGGGCAAACAGGGGAGAACTCTTCCTCCTGAGGTCTGGCATCACCATCCCAACCCCAGGTCTCTGCAGAGCTGGAGTTCATCAGAGACCATCCTCAGTGGGAATGCTGGTTTGTCCTCCACCCTCCAGCTGGACATGGCAGAGACATTAAGCCTGGTCCAGCCCACCTGCTAAAGACACCACTACTATTTGAAGCCAATGAGAAGCCCCTTTCTTCCATGGGAAGAAAACAATGGCCATTTAAAATTAACCCATTTGGGCAAAGAAAGGGAAATGGTGCCCAGGGAAACACGTTGCTGGGTTCTGCCCAGCTCCATCCCACGCCTTCCCAGCAACACACCAGCTCTCCACGCTTATGAGTCAGGAAAGCCCAAGCCTACTTCCATCTTTGCAGATCTCCACCACGTATCCATCCAGGCCCGCCTGGCCTGTCTGCTCCGGTGCTCTCCAGGTCAGCGTAACGGAGTTTTCACTCACTTCTTCCACGGTCAAAGACAAGGGAGAGCTGGGCGGCTCTGTAACAAACCCACAGTGGTGAGGACAGCCTCTTGAGTACTGGGGCTGTTGGAGCGCAATCACCCAACCTCCATGTTGGTCTTCAGGACCCCCAAATCCTCCTAATCCCCCAGCTCTATTCCACTACAGAAATATCCTTGATGACTTCATCCCTCCATCCCTTCATCCCGACACCCCACACACCCCCTCCCAGCCTTTGCATATCTCCCCTCTCCACCTCAGTGTCTGGTCCCATCCTCACCTGCCTTTGGTTTCTCAGGCTTAGGTTCAGGGGCTGGAGCTTGGGGTTCAGCCGGGGGAGCTGGGGGACCTTCTGCAGGGGTTGGAGTTGCTTCTGCTGTGGGGACAGGACCAGGCTCATCTCCAGGGCCTTTGGGCTGCTCCGTGGTAGGGGGATGCTCAGGGGCTGGGGGATTTTCAGCAGCTGGAGCTGGAGCTGGAGCAGGAGCTGGAGCTGGAGCTGGAACTGGAGCTGGAGCTGGAGCTGGAGCTGGTTCTTCCTTTGGGGTCGGCTGTTTCTTTGCAGGGGCTGGAGCCGGGTTTGTGGCTGGAGGTGCTGTTTTGCCGGTCATTGCTGCAAAGCCTGGGGGCTGGGGAGGAGGAGGATGTTCTGGGGTCTCTGCTCCTGGATCTCCGCTCTGCTTTGGGATTCCTGCTCCAGACCAAAGGTCTCTCCTCCAGATCTGGGATCTCAACTCAGAATAGGGGTCCCTGCTTTGAACCAGATGTCTTCCCTCTGGACCGACGGTCTCCGCTCTGGGACGGCGGTGCTGGGAGGGGGGAACCGGGTCACTGAGCCAGAACAGGGGCTGGGAGACTTTTATAGGCTTCGGCTGGCACTTGTCACCT